ATCGGATTCATGGGGGAGGCATAGGCATAGGCATAGCCATAGGAATTAAGGGGGGCATAAGAATTAGGGGGGAGCGCACCATTTAGTAGGGTTTGAGTTCGATTTCTTATATGGCAAGCCTATCTGGAGATGGAGAACATCATTTCAGCATTGATAATACTGCTTCTACTAATCATAGTAGGACTAATGCCAGTAATGCTAGTGCTCGTAATAAGAAGAATATCACCTCTCTTAATCAGACTAATAAGCTCATGAATCTACTGGTAGGCTACCACTAATACGATTATCATTGCTGTCATACAATCACTACCACAACTACTACTACTGCTACTACTACTACTGCTACTACTACTACTGCTACTACTACTACTACTACAACGACGACGACTACTATTACTACTACTAATACTAATACTACTACTACTACGGCTACTACTGCTGCTACTACTACTACTACTACTACTAACCATTAACGCGAGCCATGCGAACCATCCACTAATAACACTAGGAATGTTACTACTACTATTAAGGCTACTATTAAGAAGAGTAAGGCGGATACTACGACTAATACTTAATTGACACGTACTACTACGATTACGAATGCGACGAAGAGGAGGGGGAGCACGGAGAGCATACTGATAATGATGAGGAGGAGGATGGAGACGAAGGGGCGGGCGACGAGGACAACCACGAAGACGACGATGACGAGGAAACGGAGGAGGAGGATGCGGAGGAGGAGGGGGAAGCGGAGGCGGACGACGACGAACACAACCACGACGAGGAAAACGAAGACGAGGAGAAAGAGGAAGTGGATGAGCAGGAGGACGAGGAGGAGGAGGAGGACAACGAGGACGAGAATTCTTGGAACCATCGTTTAACATTCTGGGTGCTCTCTTGGACCCTGTTGGGGCTGTGAAATTCTGAATGCTCTCTGGACGTTCTCTGTGGGCCCTGTCTGGGCTCTCTTGGAAGGTCCTGAGGTCTTTCATGAGGCTCCTTTGAGGTGTCTTGGGGTCCTTTGGGCGCCCTCTTGGGGGCCTCTTGGAAGCCCTGGAGAGCCTCTCGGGGCCATCTTGCACGGCGTCGACCAACAGAGGGGAGGTGAGGTCCTCGATATCAGCCCCACCCCCCCCTCAGGAACCCTCAACCACCTTTCTTGGGGCCCTCTTGGGACCCTCTTGGGGTGCTCTTCGGTGGTCTTGGGGCTGTCTTCGGGACCTCTTGGGCCTGGCTTGGGTCTCTCTTGAGCCATTGGGGGGCCATCTTGAGGTATCCGAGGCCCATCGGCAACGAAACGGCGCGAGGGTACACCTCATTGAGTTTCCGTAGTTGTTTGAAGACTTTCAGTTTCTTGGGGGTGGAGGGGGGTGGTCCTGATGGGGCGCCCGACACACTTAGAGCTGTCTTGTGGCCCTCTTGAGGCCTCTCGAATGCACGTTGGAAGCTATCTTGAACCATCTTCTGCTATCTTGAGCCATCTGGGTTGCCCTCTTGGAGCATCGGGGACCCTCTTGGAGCCATTCTGGGCGAGCCATGACACCCTGACACCCCTTGGACCTCCCAACAACCTCAGGGAGGTCCCCGAAGGGAAGACGGTTTCGGACGAGGACAGATGGAACTCGTTACACCACCTACGCCCAGGAGGCTAGTGGGATTCAAGGCACGTGCAGAGTCCATGTTTTCGGCGGGGTCACAGCACATCAGTAGCGCGTAGCGCGCACAAGCGCCCACGGCTTCCAGCAACTCGTGGGTCTGGTCCCTTCAGAGACTACCATTCCAGCTACTTCTAACTGTATGAGCCTTGGGGCACTCCACTACGTGCTGAAGGCACGGTGGCGGATCCACGAGGAATATAGGTAGATGAGTAAACGGATGAGGATGAAAGGGATGATGTTGATGATGATGCTGATGATGAGGATGATGATGCTGCTGATGTTGATGTGGATGCGGATGCTGCTGATGCTGCTGATGATGGTGATGGTGATGCTGCTGCAGATGGTGCTGCTGATGATACTGATGATGCTGCTGCTGATGATGAGGATGCTGATGCTGATGCTGCTGCTGATGATAATGATGCTGCTGATGCTGATGCTGATGCTGATGCTGATGCTGTTCGTGAGGATGATGCTGCTGCTGATGAGGATGATGATGCGCTGCTGCAGCTGATGACGACGACGATGCTGCTGATGATGATGATGGTGGTGGTGGTGGTGATGATGACGATGATGCTGACGATCATGATATTGATGATGATGCTGCTGCTGATGATGATGCTGCTCTGCTGATGATGATGCTGCTGGTGACGATGATGATGCTGATGCTGATGATGCTGATGCTTCTGCTACTGATGATGACGATTATGCTGATACTGATGATGCTGATGCTGCTGATGCTGCTGCTGCTGATGATGATGATGATGATGATGATGACGATGATGATGATGCTGATGATGATGATGATGATACTGCTGCTGATGCTGATGATGATGCTGATGTTGCTGATGCTACTGCTGTTGATTCCGATTCTCATGCTGCTGCTGCTGCTGAGGAGGAGGAGGAGGAGGAGGAGGAGGGGGAGGAGGCGGAGGAGGAGGAGGAGCGGGGGGAGGAGGCGGAGGAGGGGGAGGAGGAGGGAGAGGAGGAGGAGGGGGGAGGAGGAGAGGAGGAGGAGGAGAGGAGGAGGAGGAGGGAGGAGGAGGAGGAGGAGGAGGGAGGAGGAGGAGGAGGAGGGAGGAGGAGGAGGAGGACTAGGAGGAGGAGGAGAGGACGAGGATGAGGACTAGAAGGAGGAGGAGAGGAGGAGGAGGAGGAGGAGGAGGAGGAGGAGAGGAGGAGGAGAGGAGGACGAGGAGTTGGAGGAGGAGGGGAGGAGGAGAGGAGAGGGGAGGAGGAGGAGGATGAGGAGGAGGAGGAGGAGGAGGAGGAGGAGGAGGAGGGGGAGGGAAGCGTGCTGCCGCCGACGACGACAACGCGCCCCGCGCTGCCGCCTTCGGGCCCCCGAGAACCGCCCGTGGGCCCGCTGAGATCGCCTTCGGGCCAGCCGAAGGCAAGCTCACGGGCCAGCGGAGAGCCGCCCGAAGGCCGCCCGAGGGCTTCCCGAGTGCCGCGCGAAGGCCGCCCGAGACCCGCCCGTGGGCCGCGCGATGGCCGTGCGAAGGCCGCGCCCGGGCCGCATCGGGCCGCCCGAAGGCCGCGCGAAGGCCGCGCGAGGGCCGCGCGAGGGCCGCCGAGGGCCGCCGCCGCCGCCGCCTCCGCCGCTCGGCCGACGACGACGACGACGACGACGACGACGACGACGACGACGACGACGACGACGACGACGGCGCTCATCGCCGCGCCGCCGCCTTCGGGCCAGCCGATCGCCGCCCGCGGGTCCGCGAGATCGCCTTCGGGCCGTCCGAAGGCCAGCCGACGGGCCAGCCGACGGGCCAGCGAAAACAACTCGAAGGCCGCCGCGCAGGCTTCGCGAGCGCCGCGCGAGGGCCGCGGCGAGGGCCGCCGCGGCGAGGGCCGCCGCGCGAGGGCCGCCCGCGCGAGGGCCCCCCGCGCCAGGCCGCGAGCCTGCAGCCGCCAGAGGGGCAGCCGCGCCCCGCCCGCGCGCCCCCGCGGCCGGCCGCCCGGGGCCCCGCCGCCCCGGCCGCTCGGCCGACGAGGCCACCGCTCGGCCGTGTGTTTTTTTTTTTTTTTTTTTTTTTTTTTTTGTGTTTTTTTTTTCTGTTTTTTTTTTTGTTTGTTGTCTGTTGTTGGTCTTTTGATTTTTTGTTTTTCGCTTGGCGTTGCTTTTCGTTCTTCGTCCTGCTCTGCCTCGCTGCTCGTTGCTCTGTGCCGCCCCGTTTTTTCTCGTTGTTCGTTGCTCGCTTGGCTTCGTCTTGCTCTGTTCTCTGCTCTTCGTGCTGCTTTTCTTCTTGTCTTGCTCTTCGTCTTTCGTTGTTGCGCTGCTCCCGTGTTTTGTTTCGTTCATGTGTTCGTCTATATTTTCCGTTCTGCTTTTGTTTCGTTCCCGCGCCCGCCTCCGCTGTGCCTCAATTCGTTCCCGGCGTGTCCCGCCCGTAGCCCGACCGGCGCCTGCATCAGCTTCGGCTCGCTTGCGCCCGGGGGCTCAAAAGAGTTTCCCCTCCCTTCGTTGGGTTCTCGTTGTCTTGATCGTGTTTTCCCAGCCCTCCCATGGTTGGGATCTCGTTTTGAACAGCTAGAGCACTGGCCTCCGTCCTCCTCCCCGCCTCCTGCTCCTCCTCCTCCTTCTCCTCTTCCTCCTCCTCCTCTTCCTCCTCCTCCTCCTGCTCCGCTTCCTCCTCCTTGTCCTCTGTGTTTTTCTCATTACCGTTTTTTTGTTCTGTCTCTCTCTACATATATATATATACATGTGTATATCCCTTTCTCTTTTTCTCCCTCTCTCCCTCTCTCCCTCTCTCCCTCTCTTCCTCTCCTTCCCTCTCGCCCTCGCCCTTGCCGTCGCCCTCGTCCGTGCGGGGGACTTGGGGGCGCTCTCCACTTCTTGCCTCGAGGCGCGGTGGCGGGTATTCGCTGCAAGGATGCCGTGCCTCCTCTTCAAGATGGGGCTCTCGCCTACATGGCCGGCCCTCAGCACAGGGTGTTGGTCTTTCGATAGGGGGCGCTTCTTGTTGTGAAGAGGAGGGCTTGCCGAGATTGTCAAAGAGGGGACTTGGGATGCGAGGGTGTCTTGCAGCATTGTTGACGCATCCTGGGTTCACTCAGGTCCTCCTCCTCCTCCTCCTCGTCCTCCTCCTCCTCCTCCTCTTCCTCCTCTTCCTCCTCCTCCTCCTCCTCCTCTCTCGCTGAGCGAGACACTGTGACCCACGGTGGCGCTCTGATGAGGGCAGCAGTGAGTTCAGTACTTGTCAAGACAGAACAGATGCTGGCGCTGACGGTGTGCGTCTCGCATCCTGCCATGCCGCCTCTCACTGCGCCGGCGCCCCGTGCCGACCCTCGTTCTGGGGGGGGTGGGGCGGGGCGGGGCGGGGCGCAACGCGCGCCTCGGAGAGGCCAGCTCTGGCGGCGCGCCCAGCGGAGCCCGGGCCGAGCGAGGACCGGCCGCGGCCCGCGCGGGTCTCCGCGCCCCTCTCGGCGGCGGGCGACGCTGCGGAAGCCCCCTCCTCCCGGCGCCCCGAGTCTGGGCGTTCTCTCTCGCACTACAGTGGGGGCGCACATCAAGAAGCCATTCGCTTTGGGTTTCTTCGCTCCGCGCGCTGCGCGGCGACTTCCCGCAGCCGCTGGAGAAGCTGCTGCGTTCAGGGTGCTCTGGGTTTCCCAGGGGGTGGGTTTCCCGGATGTACCTCGCGCGTGGGTTTTCAGGGTTGGGTTTCTTGCGAGGGTTTCTTGCGGCCGAGCCCGCACTGTATTCGTCTCATCGCCCCCCACAGTTGATGTTCTTTCTGCTTTCGCCAGTCGTGCGCAGATACCGAAGATGCCTGCGGCGAATCACCGCCGCCCCCTGCCTTTTGGGATACTCCTATGTGACCCGACATTTGGGCAACGTTTGGCCACGCTGTTGGACCGTGCGTTCCCCCAGCCGATGTGGAAGCCCTTCGGGGAACACGTGAGGGAGGAAGATGAGGATGAGGAGAGGGAAAAGATGGGAGGGTGAGGAGAAGGATGAGGATACCTCTTGGTAGCTTCTTGGGTCACTCTTGGGACCTGGGAGCTTCCTGGGGGCCCCTTGGAGGCTTCTGGGGACCTCCTTGAGCCTCTTGGGGGCCTTTGGGGGCTTCTTGGGGGCCTCTTTGGCTGTCTTGCGGCGTTCCTGGCCTGTCTGACGCCGTCGGAAGCCGTCCTGGGAGCCTCTTTGGGCCGTCTTGGGGCCCACTGGGGGCGCCACCCGGGATCCAGGGCCGGGGGCCCTAAGGCCAACCTCCAGGTCCCCATGCGGGTGGCCGGGCTCCTGGATGGTGTGATTGCCAAGGGGTGCGTGGATGATGGTGGTAGTGCTGATGCTGATGCTGATGCTGCTGCTGCTGCTGCTGATGATGATGATGATGATGATGATGATGATGATGATTATGATGATGATGATGATGATGATGATGATGAATGATGATGATGATATGATGATGATGATGATGATGAGGTGATGATGATGATGATGATGATGATGATGACGATGAGGAGGTGCAGGAGGAGGATGGAGGAGAGGATGGAGGAGGAGGAGGGGAAGGAGAATGAGAAGGATGAGGAGGAGGATGAGGATGAGGAAGGATGAGGATGAGGATGAGGAGGGGAGAGAGGAGGAGGAGGGGGAGAGGAGGAGAGGAGGAGGAGGAGGAGAGGAGGAGGAGGAGGAGGAGGGAGGAGGAGGAGGAGGAGGATAGGAGGAGGAGGAGGAGGAAGAGGAGGAGGAGGAGGAGATGAGGAGGAGGTGCAGGATGATCAGGATGAGGATGAGGATGAGGATGAGGATGAGGAGGAGGAGGAGGAGGAGGAGGAGGAGTACGAAGATAATCAGGAGGAGGAGGAGGAGGAGGATGAGGAGGAGGTGCAGGATGATCAGGATGAGGATGAGGATGAGGATGAGGAGAAGGAGGAGGAGGAGGAGGAGGAGGAGGAGGAGGAGGAGGAGGAGGAGGAGTTGGCACGCCGCTTTGGGCAAAGCGGGTGCGGAACGGCGCCCTTCGGTCCCCCCTCCCCGGGGGGCCCGGCTTTGGATCCCCAGCAGTGTGGTCGACGGCCCCGCGGGGCCCCAGAAGCGGCCCCAGGAGGCCGAGACGGAAGATCGGCAGCACGTCCAGGGTGTAAGGCAGGGTCGGGCGTTGCTTGAAGAGCCCCTTGCCCCAGGTGCCCCCCAGGATTTCCAGGGAGGCCCCGACGGCCTCCAGAGCGCCCCTCGCGAAGCCCAAGGGGGCCCCAGGGACTCCCCAATGGAGCAGAGAACTGGGGGCACCTTGTGCCGGGGGCACTTCTAGCAACACCCGGCGGGGGGGGGGCGGGCCCTCGGCGCGCCGCCGAGAAGGAAGAACCAGATGGAACAAACCTCAGCGTCTCGCGATCCTTTTCTTATTCATGGTTTTGCCGATCGGCGCAGGCCCTCGCACCCCCACCACCCCCCTGAAGTAGATCTTGGCTGTCTTTTGGCGCCTGTTTCGGGCAAGTGGGGTCTACCCCGCAGGACGCACTGCTGCAAACAGCCGCATTAAGCAGAGGTCCGGAGCCAGGCCCCCCCCCCCTTCCGCCCGATGTCGAAACGCCGAATAAGAAAACGTTCACCTGAGGTCCAGGCGCCCTTCCAGAGTTCTCTGGAGGTCTTCACGAAGGTTTGCGGTGGTCCCTGGAGCTCCCAGGAGGCCTCTCTGGAGGCTTTGGCAACTCCCAGAGTCGCAGGTCTAGAGGTTGACACCAATACCAAGATCGGCAGTGTGCCTGCACCGAGGGAAGCTGATCCCAGTCTTGGTGATGCTGGTAACAATTGAGCTTCCTCGGTGGCCGAAAGATTTTCACCAACACCAAAATCGAGGATCATCCTCCCCCAGTGAGCGCAGCCCCCTCTTTTGGTGTCGGTGTCCATTTCCAAGCCTCCAACAGAGAGGCGCAAGAGTCATGCCGCCCACATCACAGAGCGGATTTCGTTCGGAAAACAATGGGATTGGCCCAGATTGTCCTGGAAGATTTCGTTCTGGATTTCGAGGTGAGTTTCGTGCGGACTTTTTTTGACCAGGAATAAAGACTACAAACAATCAGCGTGAAATTCACGTCGTTTTTCGCTCGCCGTTTCGGGGTTTTGCACTGACAGAGCTCCACGCCAAAGTCCGCTGCAGCACGTCTGCAAGGTCGGTGCCATGACAAGAGCGCTCTAAGTGGGGTTCACTTCGTTCGGGAGCCCCCGAGCGAAGTGAACCCACCCCCCCTCAGAAATCGTGGGGGGTAGGGGTAGGGTTCGCATGTGGCCCCCTATCGGGCCGGACGAAAGGGGGGGATTGGGAAAGGGGGGGTTACGAAATTTGCTGCATGCAGCTGGTTTTGGCCCCACCGAGTGGCCCATTCCTCGATACATAGCCGCTTTCGGCGCCGGGAGGCGCCGGGAAAATCAGCTACGTGAGCTGATTCTCAACCCCCCCCTTTGCTATCCCCCCCTTTCGCCCGACCCGACCCCACTAAGATCTCGGCCTTCGATCCTCGCTGTTCGATCCCGTCGCGGGCCGCCTCGTCTCGCGCCGACTCGGCACCGGCCGGGCCTCCTCTTGGAGGCTGGCGCGGGCGCCGCCTCGGGCCTCGCCCCGTCCCGCTGGCTTCCCGCGGCGGTGGAAGCGAGTCAGGCGATTGGGGTTTTGTCTCTCTTGCCCTCTCCTCCTCCTCCTCCTCTTCCTCCTCTTCCTCCTCTTCCTCCTCCTCCTCTTCTCCTCCTCCTCCTCCTCCTCCTCCTCCTCCTCCCCTTCCTTCCTCCTCATCGTCGCCGTAGCCATGAGCACGACGCTGCCGATTGCTGCTGCTGCTGCTGCTGCCGGTCTCGCGAGCCCCTCGTCTGTTCGGCAGTGGACGCGGTGGCATGGCTGGCTTACCACTCGTCGACTGCATGAGTCTGTTCGTCATTTTTGCTCTATGTGCGGATTCCCGAATGCGCACCAGCAGCACCATTTCGAGCGTGATGTTCTCTGGCAGCCTTTCGGCGACTGGCCCGGAGCATACCCTTCTTCGACTCCGAACGCGCCCCTTGCACACCAAGAACGGCCGTTTCGGTCGGGGAGTTCAGTCGCGCGCCCTGCGCCACAGCGCCGTCTGCGCCGCGCGCCGCGCCCGCTTTGAGATTCTCTCACCTGCGGCGGATCGTTACTGCTGATTCGTGATCACCACCGCCACAACCAGCAGCACCACCACCACCAGCACCAGCAGCAGCACCACCACCACCACCGCCACCACCACCACTATCACCACCACCACCACCACCACCACCACCACCACCACCACCACCACCACCACCACCACCACCACCACCACCACCACCACCACCACCACCACCACCACCACCACCACCACCACCACCCACCACCCACCACCCACCACCCACCACCCACCACCCACCACCCACCACCCACCACCCACCACCCACCACCCACCACCCACCACCCACTACCCACCACCCACCACCCACCACCCACCACCCACCACCCACCACCCACCACCCACCACCCACCACCCACCACCTACCACCACCCACCACCCACCACCCACCACCTACCACCCACACCCACCACCCACACCCCCACACCCACCACCCACCACCACACCTACCACCACCACACCACCACCACCACCACCCACCCACCACCCACCCACCCACCCCCCCCCCCCCCCCCCCCCCCCCCCCCCCCCCCCCCCCCCCCCCCCCCCCCCACCCCCCCACCCCCCCCCCACCCCCCCCCCCCCCCACCCACCCGACCCACCCACCCCAACCACCCACCACCCCCCCCCACCCCCCCCACCCCCCACCCACCCACCCCCCCACCCCCCCACCCCCCCACCCCCCCCCCCACCCACCCACCCCCCACCCACCCCCCAACCCACCCACCACCCCCACCACCACCCACACCCACCACCCACAACACCCCCACCAACCACACCACCACCACACACCCACCACCCCCACCACCACCACCCACCGCACCCACCCACCCCCACCACCCACCACCCACCACCCACCAACCCACCACCACCCACCCCCACCACCCACCACCCACACACCCACCACCACCACCACACCACCACCCACCACCCCACCACCCACCACCCACCACCCACCACCCACCAACCCACCACCCACCACCCACCACCACCCACCACCCACCACCCACCACCCACCCCCACCACCCCCACCCACCACCCACCACCCACCACCCTCCACCACCACCCACCACCCACCACCACCGACCACCAACCCACCACCTGCCACCACCACCACCACCACCACCACCGCACCACCACCACCACCACCACCACCACAACCACCACCCTCATGCTTTCTTAGATGAGGAAACGGTACCTATACCGCTACCCTTCCTTGTTTGTTCCCCCTTGCGGGCCTCCTGGGAAGCCCTCGCCGCCACCGCTGGATTCGCCTTGAAATTCTGTTCAGGACGCACCCAGGCGAGGTCTGGGGAGTAGCGGTATTGGTACCTTTTGGTTTCCCTAGTTTTCCTCAGGAGGTCGGCGACGGGGAGCCGAAGAGCGAGGACGACCTCGAGGCCCCGTCCGCCCGCTTCCCACTGTCGACTTCGCCGTCGTCGGCTTCGTCGACCTGGAGGTCCGTGGGCGCTTCTGGAGGCTCTCGTGGCCACGGCTGGGACGCAGCGTGACGCCTTCAGAGCGGACCCCGGGATGGGTCCGGGGACCAGTTTTGACCGGAGATTGGCCAGTGGCTTGCCTCCTCTCGGGGCCGTGCCCCCCAGGGTCTCGGGGACCTCCTCCTCCTGGATGCGGCGAGCCTGAGTGCTGGCCCGTCCCCCGAGGGCGGGAAAGTGCCCGCGTCAGCCGTTCCCTCTGGGACCCGGGGCGTCGCAGCAGTCGGGGCTGCAAGAAACCTGGGTCAGTGCAAGCGGGGGTCGGCCAGTAAGGCCGCCCCCTCGCCTCGCCCCCCGAGCACGCCGCCCACCCTTGCTCGCTCCTCCCCTCCCTTCTCTCTCTCTCTCGAGGATCGCGTGCGTCCCCCTCTCTCCCCCCCCTTGTTTCTCCGCGGGCATCCAGGGACCTGTAGAGACCCCCAGAGACGTCACCCCGCTCCCCCTCCGCTTCACCCCCCGCCATGCCCCTGCCATCCCCCCTCCCCAGCACCCCCCGCCCCCCTTTCTGCCTCTCCCCCTTTCTCCCCCCTCTCCCCCACTCCCCTCCCAGACACCGTTCCTCCTGCTGTTCTTTTCTTCTCATTCTTCCCCGTTTCCCCCTTCCCCGCGATGCAGCAGCTCTGAACCAGAGCTGCCAGAGGATCACTGGTCACTGTTTCCTTCCTGAGGTGTGGTCCCCCCTCCCCCCTCCCCCTCCGCCTCACCCTGCTCCGCCTCCCCCCTCCTCCCCCCCCCTCCCTCTTCCCCTGTCCCTGGCCCTCCGAGGGGCGCAATGGGTGGTTATCCGACCTTTTTGTGCTGCTCCCCCCCTCCCCCCCCCCTTCTGGTCAGTGTCGCTTGCCCAGTCCCCCCTCTGTCCCTCCCCCTCTGCCTCCTCCTCCTCCTCCTCCTCCTGTTCCTCTTCTTCCTGATCCTCTGATTTCCTCGGAAGCCATCTACGTCGACGACCGAGGAAACCCCTACGTATAGATGTTGGCACCCGATGAGATGCGCGAGTTGGTCCACGACCATTCAGTGCCGGACGGCCACTGTGCGCGACTCAGGGTCTACGTTGCAGGATCGAAATGGCTGTGATCGAACGCGACACCGACCCACGCACATCTCGCGAGGCCGCGGCTGCTCGAGGAGTTCCAGGTATGGGTGGACCGCGACTGCTTCTCACGGCGGCCGCGCCGAGGAGCCAGTCCTGGACTGCAGGTGTGTCGGCAAATGGAGATGGGCAGGGAAGGAGACGAGCCCCACGCAGAAGGTGCGGATCATTCGTGCGTGACTGACCCTGCGAGGCCGCGAGGACATCGACGCCGATCTCATCGCCACCGACCCCGGCACATCATCGCGACTCTCGCAGCGGGTGATCGTCTGCGAGGCGGCCTGCCGAGGATAGGCGATCGACGCTTGGGATGCCAAGAAAGCCTTTCCCAAAGCAGTAAGCAGCAAAGAACTCGCAGACGCAACTGGTGAGAGGGAGCATGAATCGAGCTTCGAGCTCGCTCCTGATGCCGTGCAGTTCTCCACAGGATTCAGTAGGGGAACCAAAAATTACATAAACATAAAAACTCGGAGGTCCGCGCGGATTTCTCGGATCGGCGCAGGGACCCCCCTCCCTGGCGCCAGGGCCGGCGCCGGAGGCGCCGCCGGGGGGCCCCAGCGCCGATCCAAGAAATCCGCGCGGACCTCCGAGTTTTTATGCTTATGTCACTTTCTGTTCCCCTATTCAGGGGCGCGGAGATTTCTACCTGGCCCTAGAAGTCATTTACATGGGGAAACAGGGGGAGAACAAGGGTCCCCTGCGAAGCGCTGCGAAGATTTTGGCGGAAGACCTCCGGAACAAGAACGAAAAACCATTCGAGCTGCGGCAGGTCTTGCGGGAGGCGTCGATTTTGAGAGACGTCCACAAATTCAAGATGGTCCGAGAGGCCAACAGAGATTTAGTAGAAGTGCTTGGGATCCTGAAGGGTCATGAGGGTGCAACAGGGGAAGCCATGATCCGAATGGCTCTCGCGCGTGACAGAATCGAACCGTTCGCGAGTCAATATGCTAACAGCTCTGAATATGCAGTTCTCGTTGAGAGGGAACAGTCCGAGATGCGCCTGGAGGTTGGGTTTGATCGTGGTGTATCCTCAGATCATGCGCCAGGAAGACTGACGGATCCATGGCGCCGGCTCATCTCCAAGACCCGTTGCATTTGGAGTTCTACGAGGATTCGACGGGGTGCCCAGTAGGTAACGAAGGTGGGTGTCGGAACCGATCGACTCCTCCCGAGGTCCTTCACTTGTCACGGAGATCATATGAACAAGATAGTGTAGGGGGTAATTTTGGCTGGATGTGATGGATGGCTGGCCCGAAAACGACGACCCAAGGCCAACAAATCGAAGTGCAAAAGATGAGGAAGGGTACAGCGACGAAGACTTCCGACACGGACTGCCCAGTCAAGAGAGCACCTTCTCTGGCAATCTCTGACGGGCCTGTTCCTCCCGGCACGCAGGCGGTGAAAGGGTTTGGCAGGCGTTGGCTTGCGAGAAATGGCAGCGTCGATCAGTGATGCGGTGAACTCCGCTTCAAAACGTCAAGGTAAAGAGAGACGCGTCGGACCCTTTTGTACCTGGTGTCTCATCACGACATGTGGGGATACTATAGGGATGATGTTCCATCCGATATCCCCTCCCTCTTCGTGGGTCGTGATGCCTGTCGCCGTAGGTTGGATCACTTTCGCTCGGTTCTGGGTGAGAAGTGGGACGAGATGCGTCGTTTCCGAGGTTTGCTGTTGGCCTATCAGACATTGTTCCGCAGCAGTGATTAATGCCAGTGGATGTGTGCCAGTGCTATCGTTGGTAAGTCAGATGAGGAAAGAAGGAATAATACGTCTGGGGGCACTCATCCTGGCGGCTGTGGCTCTGTCGTGTAGGCAGTTGGATTTCCCGATGATGACCTGCCCGAAAAATGTGGAAGTTCAGTGGGTGATTGAGGGTGCCGCTGACAAGGGGAAGGGGTGGAATTCCTTGCGGGGCGACGAGGGTGAAATGCCGTGGCTTATCAGGGCTTCTATCGGGCACTCTCTGCCCAAAACAGAAGAGCGAAGGACGTATCCGACGTGCGAGAGGTGCATGGGCGGCGAGCACAGGGTGGTCTTTATCATTTTCAAACTTAGGAGTTCGAGGCGGCGTTGACTGGGCAGTTCGCCTTCCCTTCTATCGGCGCTGAGGCGCGCGATGGCGTGACCCATGTCCGCTTCAGTACCGCGAAGCGGTCATCCAAGGCCGAACTGCTGCCGGGTGTCTCTACGGCACCGAGAATGCCGGACAGGACCTGGGCGCCGAGGCCTCGCCTGGGGGCTCTGCCGCCGGTAGGGGAGAGGTGCGTGGGTCAGAATGGCTGGCCCAGGGAGAGAGCACGACGGGGCTTCAAATCGAGCGCCAGTATGATGGCGATGGCGTGAGCCGCTCTCTTGCAGGCCCCCTCCTTTGCGTTCCTCTTCCTCCGTCCCCTCCTCGTTGCCTGGGTGCCCGGGCTCTCCCAGTTCTTAGTTAGTGGATCTGGCCTGATTCTCCTGCGGGGCAGGTGATCCTTGCTTCCTAATACCCCTTTGTGTTTCACTTGTCCTTCTGTCCCCTCCTTCCTGCTCTCCCTCCTTCCTGGGGCCTGGACCCTCTTACAGGAATCCTTCCAGGTAGGTGGGTCGCCGATTCGACCGAATCGGTTCTTTCGCATGCCGTGGCCACTGATTTCATGACCACAGCCTTTCACCACTGCAGGGCTGGAGGTCACAGGAGCTGCCGCCGTCTTCGAGCAGCCATAGCCGCCAGGCTGCGGGTGCTGGCCAGGCGAGCCCCTGCCATCGTGGGACTCTTCGGGGCCCTCCCCCCTCCTCCTCCTTCTCCTCTCGTTGCCCGGCCGGGTTAACGTCACCATATTGTGGCGCTCTTTCCAAAGCCCCCTTGAGGGGATGCGGATAATCTCACGGGCGTGCGGGACGTTTGAACAAAAAAAAATTCAAGACATGGCTCAACACGGAAGAGACATAACTGTTGAATGCAGACGTGCTCGTCACGTCCGTCACGAGGCCCTGCGCGATGTGCGAGTCCAAGTAGGCTCCCAGACGCCGCCGCCATTGCGAGCGGCCGTCTGGATGTCGCGGGAGCTGTAGAGGCCTTCGCGGTATCTTGCCGCGATGGAAATCTACCTTGACTTAAGCTCGACGGTCGAAGCAAGATCCCGAAGAGCATCGGGCTGGGGGGAGTCTCCAGCTGTATGCGTTTGCTTATTGAGAAACCGACCCTTGAGACAGTCCCAGCCTCTGGGGGCGACGTTGGCCCGGGGCTGCTGAGTAAGCTTTCGACGACTCCGTGGAATGACGACGCGTATTTTGTTTGCAGTTGTCTGCAGCCACGCGGGTAATGTCTGATTTCTTGTTTAAGCTGTAAGCGACCACTCGTGTGCGGATACCAAAACTGCTATCGCATGGCGACGGTGATCGCTTTAAACTATTCGGATGGCAGGGCAAGGGCGTGGCGTTTCTGGGCTCGGTCCACGGTGCCACTGAAGTACCCAAAGACGCACCTGAAGGGGGCGCGGGGTCGGAGGCCCAATCGCAGGCTGGAGCCGACGGCCCCGCACGGGAGAAGGCGGAATAAGCCGAGGAGTCTGCGCGTGTCCGAGGCTGTTTCGGACCTCTTGCCATCAAAAGGCAAGAGGTCCGAGTCGAAAGGGGCGCTGTCGCCCAGAGGCAATTGGCTTCTTCGCATGGCCCCCGATTGCTACGGCCCTGAAGGGGATGGGTCGCGAAGACGGCGCTGCATTTCGCTACGTGCGTGGGTTCCCATAAACGAGGATAGTCGGCCTCCTGCGTGTTCCCTGCCGTTGGCGTTGAAGCTAAGGAAGCTGGTTGCATCGTGCTTGGCTTTGAGATCAGTTCCGCCCCCTGACAATATGAGTAGTTGGTATCCCAGGCTTTGTTCCCTGGTGGCTCCGAGCCTTCAGTGCCTGGACTTTCGGCCCACGTAGTGTGTTCGACTGAGAGGTCGAAGCCGACCTGGCGCATCTGGGGAGTTTGTCGGAGATTCGGGGGCACCCGTTGATGCGAGGTGAACTGCGATGAGGTGTGGCGATTGGCCCAGGCGAGCAAGGCGGAGGTCGGGCTTGGTTAAGTGGAGGCTGCTCGTGACTTGGCCTCGAGTTTGAAGGCGTCAAGAAGGATCGGGACATTGGGGCTGCCGTCGAGGAGACCAACTGGGACGCGGCAGTCGCCCCGATGCGCGTTGCCGAACACGTCGCCGGTGACGGGGAGACGCTGTTTGACCCTAGCCGCCACGGTGACGGCAGGGCCGCTCCTCGTCGAACAGCGCGGCGAGAGGCCGCCCGAATTGGTGGTCGATGACGACCTTGAAATAGTCATCGAGTGCGGCGGCAACTAGTTTGCCTCTGCGGCTCTTTATCGGTGCGGGAGTCCTGTAACTGAGGCAATGGAGCTGGTGCTCGTTGGATGGAAGGACCCGCGTCCAAAGCGAGGAAAGTCTTGGGCGCCTGACGACGCGGACTGGCTCTCGCGGAGCCTGTATTGGGTTCGTGGTTGATGTCCAACCGATGTAGTGGCCCGCGCGACATGGTCCGACACGATGTACTTAAAGCAAGATCGACGCGGTTCTCGAGACCCGAGGGGGGGAATTGGTGCCCACTGACGCGTGCGGGTCCCAGGGTGCGACCGATAGGGTCCAGAGAGCCGTGGGCTCTCGCGGTCGTCTGCTAGCTACAGCCGCAATCCTAGTGATCTCCGACGGCAGAAAATCGACCCCTGCGGGTGGGCTGGAGTCGGGCCCGCCAGTGGGCGCTTGCTTCCAAATTTGGTGGGCTGGCCATGGCAGTCGATGATCTGGTAGTGCTAGTCCCATGGCAGCGCCGCATCGCTGCCCCTGGTAAAGTTGTGCTTGGCGAAAATGGTATCGTAATGGGACGAGCTGCGACGGGAGGCTCTGCCGCCATCGCGGTGGGGACAGACGCTGGGGAGGAAACGAGAGATGCTGATGCTGGCGCTACCGACCCTGCGGCCCGTGGCTTTGCCGCGGGCGCCGATGGCGGCGGTCGCCAGCCTAGGCAAGACGACGACGACGAAGGGGGTACGCATGGACCTCGTCAAGAGCGCGGTTCGAGAGCCGAGGGCGATTTTGGGTGGGCCCCGGTTAGGGGCAATTGATTCTACGGGCATATTTCGCACCGTCCCGATGACGATCGCGCGAGCAATCGGCCTACGAAGGGAGCTGGAGGGAAAATAACATATACTGCGTACTCGAATAAAATATACTGCGTACTCGAACGCTTGGGACAACGGAAGAGGAAGCGCCTCCCCCTCAACACCTTGGCAGTGGCCGTCATCCTGGTGGAACAGCGAGAGCTTTGGTCGGTGGTCGAGCGGTCGCCTAAGGGAGGATAGGGACGATAGTGACCGTGCTGCGACTGAAGCCTGTGCTGCGGCTAGTGATCCGTGGTGTGACTGGAGCCAGAGAGCGGCTGTCGAAGGTAGGCTGCGGGGAAGGACCACGCCGGCTGAGCGGACATCGCCAGGTGTCCCGCGGGCCCAGCCTATGCAACAGGAGCAAGTATTACTTGGACGGGATGCGCCGTGCAAGTTTTTTTTGGGCTGGCGCGCCCCGACGAGATGTACTGACGGCCTTGTGGCCCAGGAGCCAGGATCTGGTGCCGCTTGCGTCTTAATGGAGCAATGGTGCGCGCGCTTCTCTCTTAGCGAGCGCGTATTACCATCCACGCAAACACGTATTTGCGGAACATTGTAACCCATGACGCGTTGCATCGTGAAGGGGTTATGTTTGGAGGAGGACACGAACCTCGAACTATGAGGCCTGGGTAACGATCGTGCCTGGTTGTCGGAATCCGTTGGTAATCTGGCAAGCTGGCAGTGGTAATGGTGGTGGTGATAGTGATGAAGATGGTGATGGTGGTGGTGGTGGTTATCATGATGATGTTGGTGATGATGATGATGATGATGCTGATGATGATGATGATGAGGATGATGATTGTTGGGATGATTGTGACAATTTTGATGATGATGACGGTGCTGCTGATGATGATGACGATGTTGATGATGATTATGCTGATGACGATGGTGATTTTGTTGATCACGGTCATGATGATCATGATGGTGCCGATGTTGATGCTGCTGCTGAGGAGGAGACGGACGAAGAGCTGGAGGAAGAGGAGGAGGAGGAAAGGGATGCTGATGATGATGAGGAGGAGGAGGAGGAGGAAGAGGAGGAGGAGGAGGAGGAAGAGGAGGAGGAGTAGGAGGAGGAGGAGGAGGAGGAGGAGGAGGAGGAGGAGAGAGAGGACGGAGGAGGGCGCGCCAGGTCGAGGAGGGCGCGGACGTCGACGAGGGCGTGATCGTCATGTCGAGGCGGGTGGCCCCGCTCACGGGCGGCCGCGCGCATTCCGGCGACCGTTTGCCCACAGTCGCTTCAGGGAGGCGCTCGTGCACGGTGCCGAGGGGGCAGAAGGTCCTCCTCGGGTCGATGCGGTCGGTGGGTCAGCGCCGGTCGGGGGCGGGGGCGAACGGAGTAGGATGATGATAATACTGATGATGCTGATGATGATGATGATGATGCTGATATTGATGATGATGATGATGATGATGACGATGATGATGATAATGATGATGATGATGAGGATGAGGATAACGATGACGATGCCGTTGACGATGATGATGAAGATGACGATGATGACGATGATGATGATGAGGATGAGAATGAGGATGATGATTATGATGATGAGGATTATGATGATGATTCTGATGCTAATGAATATGATGATGCTGATGATGATGCTGATGCTGATGCTGATGCTGATGATGATGATGATGGTGGTGGTGGTGGTGGTCGTGAAGCTGATGATGATGCTGCTGCTGATGATGATGATAATGACGATGACGATGACGATGATACTGCTGCCGATGATGATGAAGCTGATAGTGATGATGATGATGATGATTATGATGCTATTAATGATGATGATCATGCTGATGATGGCGATGATGATGATGCTAATGACGATGAACATGATGCTGATGATGATGGTGGTTTCGGTTGTGGTGATGATTCTGATGCTGATGCTGCATATCATGATGATGACGATGATGATGATGATGATGGTGGTGGTGGTGGTGGTGATGGTGGTGGTGATGATGCTGATGATGATGATGCTGATGCTTCTGATGATTCTGATGATGATTATGATGCTGCTGCTGATGATGATGATGATGAAGATGACGATGCTGACGATGATGATTATGATGATGATGATGATGATGATGATGATGATGATGATGATGGTGATGATTATGATGATGATGATGATGATGATGATGATGATGATGATGATGGTGATGGTGACGGTGATGGTGATGGTGATGATGCTGATGCTGATGCTGATGCTGATGATGATGATGATGATGATGGTGGTGGTGATGATCATGATGATGATGATGATGATGATGATGATGATGATGATGATGATGATGATGATGATGATGATGATGATGATGATGATGATGATGATGATGATGATGATGATGATGATGATGATGATGATGATGATGATGATGATGATGATGATGATGATGATGAGTGGGATATACGTGTTGAATGGCACGCGAACGAATGACAGTGAACAGTCACAATATCACCACTTTTGCGTGTTCTTGATCCCCCCTGACCAGTGCACGTTGTGTTTTTCAATTGACGTGCACCCCTCGGGGTTCGCATCCTGCTTTTTATCACGGGAAGTCTTCGCGATCAAACTGCGATGTTGGGCCCCGAACTACAACAACAACGGTTCCAGCGTGATATCCCTTCCGAAGCTATTCCAAAATCACGCTCTCGCGCGGGACATCCTCACAATTCATGCAGGGATCGCGCTGTCGATGGGGACTTTTCGCAAACGCTCAGGAATCGCGTTTGCGCTTTGGCCTTTTTCCCGATTTGGGACTCGCGCTATCGCTCGAGACCTTTTTCGCGATTCATGCAGGACTCACGCTTCAGCAACCCGCCTGCTCGATCTGGCCGCCTGGGCCCGCCTTCCCGACCCGCCCACTAGGGTCAGCCCGGCCGAATTGTCCGTCTGATTCAACCATGTTTTTTTTCTGCTCGTAGCCCACCTCCTGCTAATTTCTCTCGTGCTCCATCCTTCTCCCTTTCCATCCGTCCTTTTTTCACCTGTTCAGGGGGCTGCGCTAAATGCGCGTGGCAGGTGCGGAAGATATACTCCCAAGGGGGCATAATCGAAGACGAATAGGCGGGGAACCGAGGGTCTGGGATATACGTGTAGAGTGGCATGCAAGCAGATAGGAGCGAACAGTCTTAAAATGACTGTAGCTGTTATTGTTGCTGCTGCTGTTGTTGTTTATTATTGCGGTTGTGGTTGCTGTTGTTGTTGATGCTACTGCTGCTGCTGCTGCTGCTGTAGTTGTTGTTATTGTTGTTGTTGCTATTGTTTTTGCTCGTGTTTATGTTCGTGCTATTAGCCTTGTTATTGTTCTTACTGTTATCCTGGTTGTTTGTGTTTGTTGTTTTGATCTTTTTTTTTGCGTCGTCAGCGACGCGGCGACCGATGGCAGAACGAGGTGCGCCCGCCCCCCGAGAGGCTCCTCTCGCGGGCGCCCGCCGGGGAGTGCGCCTGGGACGTGTGGCTGGACGCGGTGCGCAAGTGGCCGAGGAGGGGGAGGGGGGGGAGCTGGTCGGGCCGGGCGAACGGGGGGGAGGTGGCAGGTGATTGTCTCACGTTCCATCGTGTCTGTCACAGGCGCGGGTCTCGAGATAGAGCGCGATTCCCAAGTATGTCGTGAGATAGGCCAAAGCGAGAGCGTGATTCCTGAGCGTCGACATTTGGCGGGGGGAGCTTCGAAAAGCTACGCTACTCTGGTTTTGGCCTCGCCGCCGGGCCGCCTTCCTCGAGGCGTGGTCGCCGCCCGGCGCCGGGGGTGGCGCCGGGGAAGCCAGGCACGTGAGCTGATTCGCGAACCCTCCTTTCATTATACAACCCCCCTTCTCGTCCGACCCGAACCGGGCGGGGGGGCTCAGGGGGGGAAGAAGGGCGTACACGTACATGAACCCGCGTTGGTTCCACAAGTGCCCGTCGGTCTTTGAAAGTCGGTACTTCTGGATTCCTAGATCCCAATCTACGTCAAGCGCCTTCCTACTTCAAGAATCGATCCGCCTTGGCTGTGATTTGTTATCCCCCGGGACGGCCTGAACCCAAAACCTACTTGATCCGCTTTCCTGTTTCATGTTTTTACCCGCTTCTTCCGACCGACGGGTACGCAGTGCGCGAACGTTCGTATGACGCAGCAGTTCTCGCGGATTGGGGGACCCTGTTCATTCATGTATGTGGTTGAGCGCGTACGTCCATTGCGGGCTTCCTGGTGTGTGGTGTGTGTGTGTGTATGCGTGTGTGTGCGAAATGTTATACCCTGGTTGGACGGGTTATACCCTGGTTGGCCGGCAAAATCGGGTTATTCATGGCTTGCCCCTCAGAAACCTCCCAAACACCAAGCACCAAACACCAAACCCCAAACCCCAAACACCGAACACCAAACACCACACACCAGCAGACACGAAACGCCAACCCAAAACACCGAGCAAAAAACCCGCGCACCCCAAACACCAACAAACACCGAACCCCAGACACCACCAAACCCCAAACCCCAAACACCAAACACCAAACACCAACCCCCAAACCCCAAACACCAAACACCAAACCCCAAATCCCAAACACCAAACACCAACCCCCAAACTCCAAGCACCAAACACCAAACCCCAAACCCCAAATCCCAGACACCTATCGCCAACCACCAAGCCCCAAACACCAACCCCCAAACCCCAAACACTAAGCCCCAAACCCCAACCCCCAACACCAAATCCCAAACACCCAACACCAAACCCCAAACTCCAAACACCAAACACCAAACCCCAAACCCCAGACACCTATCGCCAACCACCAAGCTCCAAACACCAACCCCCAAACCCCAAACCCTAAGCCCCAAACCCCAAACCCCAAACACCACCCCCCAACTAGCAAGCCCCAAACACCAAGCCCCCAAAAATACATCCCAAACCATAACCCCAAACACTATACACCATACACCAAACACCAAACACCAAACACCAAACACCATACACCACCCCCCAACCCCAAACACCAACGCCCAAACACCAAACACGAAACACCAAACCCGAAATCCCGAATAACAAGCCCCAATCATCAATCACCAACTCTGTGCCGTGTATACCAAACACCATCCGCCAAACACCAAACCCCAAGCACCAAACCCCAAACCCCAAACCCACACCTCAAACACCGAACGCCAAACCTCAAACCCCAAACACCGAACAGCAAGCTACACACCAATCACCAAGCCCCAGACCCCCAACCCCAAACACCAAACCCCAAACAAAACACGCCCCAAACACCCTACACCAAACCCCAACCACCAAACACCAAACAACAAACCCCATGCCCCAAGCCCCAACCACCAAACACCATACACCATACACCAAACGCCATGCACCAAACACCATGCACCAAGCACCATGCATCAAACACCAGATACCATACACCAAACACCACACACCGCCCCATGCCTCCATAATTATCCTCGCCCCCCCACATCCATACTCTGCCTCCCCCTCATTCTTTTTCCCCCACCTCCCTGTTTCGTCCTCCCCGTCCTCCTCATATTCTTCCTCCCCCTCCTCATTTCCTCCCCACACCTCCTTACTTTTGGTTTCTTGGGGTGTTCCTTCGGGGGCTCCGAGAGCATTGGGAGCCGCTTTGTTGCTCTTTCCGATGCTTTTCGGAAGAGCATGTTGGGAGCCATGTTGAGCGAGCTTCCGCCATCTCGAGCCACACTGGCGGCCCTCTTGAAGTCATCGCGGGCGAACACGCATTCTCTGACCCCCCCCAAGAACATGAGGGAAGTGGATGGCTTCCCTCCCCGAAGGGACTTCGGAGAGGAAAAAGGGACATCGTTAGACCACCTGCGCCCACAGGGCTGGTGGGAGATGTTGCCAAGATGGCCAGATACAGCTGGCGCGAATAGTTACAGCAACCTCGTCTTCGGAGGGGTACCCTTCTGTTCTTTGTCGTTTGAGTCAGACACGGCGAGCCGCAATGAGCATCTCTATGCCTCGGGCGCTCAGCACAGTTGTCTTGAAGCTCACGGGGACCAGGAAGAGGAAGAGGGAGGGAGGAATGAGCACGGATGAGGGAGGACGCATGTGGTAGGGATAAACGATAAGAAGGGGGAGGGATGTTGAGGATGGAGAAGGGAGGAGCACACGGAAGGAACACTTAGAGATGCGGCTGCTGATGATGATGCTGATGATGATGCTGATGAGGATGCCGATGACGATGATGGTGGTGGTGGTGGCGATACTGATGATGATGACGGTGATGGTGATTGTGGTGGTCATTGTGATGATGATCTTGATGTTGTTGATGCTGGTCATGCTGCTGATGCTGCTGATGTTGCTGACGACGATGATGATGATGTTGATGATGATGCTGCTGCTGATGATGATACTGATGATGGTACTGATGATGGTGGTGGTGGTGATGATGATGATGGTGTTGATGAGGAGGGGGAGGAGGAGGGCCATGACTCCGCTCGGCTTTGTCCTTCTGGGGGTCGTGGTCTTGATCGGGCTGGTTGGTGTTTGATGGTGGTCGTGTAGGTTGTCGCGTTTTTTGTTGTCGTGGTAATGGCCGTGCCTGTGATCGCGCTGGTGGTCGTTTTCCTGGTCGTGTTGGTCGTGCCAGTGGTTTGCGATGGCGACCACCTCTCCTGGCAGCCTCCCCCCTTCCCTGCCATTGTGGACGATCGACTACGCTCGACCTGGCTGGTGCAGTTGCGGGCGGTCGCGTCTGTGGTTCGTGCTGCTGATTGTGCACCTGGCCGTTCTGGCGCGTTCTGGCGGTGGTCGTGTTGGTGGTCGCGGTAATGGCCCTGCTGGTGGTCGTGATGGTGGGCTTGTTCGCGTGGTCTTCATATGTGAAACGTGTGGCTTGCATTTGGGAAATGTCTGGTTGTCCCATGAACAGCGCATGGCCTGCAGCAATGAAGCGTACAGCTCCGATCTGCGAACCGTTCGGTTCTCAGACAGGCATCCATACGAGAAACATGAGATGTTCATTTGCGCAGCGTATGTGCTGCAACGAAGGCGCATGTGTCCCAGACGAGAAACGTATGTGTCTCAAGCGCTACTACTAGTACTACGACACTACGACGACGGCTGCGACGACTCCTATTCTTCTTCTTATTTTATTTATTTTAGTACTACTATTAGTACCATTACTACAAGATCTACTACTACTACTGCTACTACTACTGCTACTACTACTGCTACTACTACTGCTACTGCTGCTACTACTACTACTACTCCTACTACTACTATAACTACTACTACTACTCCTACTACTACTACTACTCCTACTACTACTACTACTACTACTACTACTACTACTACTACTACTACTACTACTACTACTCTACGACTACTACAGCTACTGCTACCGCCACGATGATGATGATTATTATTATTCTTACTACTACTACTACTACTACTTCTCTTTCTATTACTACTACCACTACTACCACTTCGACGGCTACTAATATCACGACCACTATTACGACCACTACTACCACAACCACCACCACCACTACTATCACGACCACTACTACTACTACTACTACTACTACTATTACTACTACTACTACTACTACTACTACTACTACGTACTACTCCTACTCCTACTCCTACTCTACGTCTACTACAGCTACTGTTACCACTACGATTATTAGTTTTCTTTTTCGTCTTCTTCCTCTTACTACTACTACTACTACTACTACTACTACTTCTACTACTACTACTACTACTACTACTACTACTACGACTACTATTACGACTATTGGTACTACACCATCACCACCAGCACCATCACCACCACCACTACTATTATTATCATTATTATTACTACTACTTCTATCAATGCAACGACTACTACTACGACTACGACTACCACTGCTCCTGCTACTGCTACTGCTACTGCTATTGCTTCTAGTACTAGATTATAGATAATCTACCACCACTACTACTACTACCCGTAGTACTACCACTACGACTACTACTACTACTACTAGTAGTAGTAGTAGTAGTAGTAGTAGTAGGAGTAGTAGTAGTAGTAGTACTACTACTACTACTACTACTACTATTACTACCACCACCACTACCACTACTACTACTACTACTACTACTATTACTACTACTACTACTACTACTACTACTACTTCTACTACTACTACTTTTACTGCTGCTGCTATGCGCAGATCGCCAGCATAGCAAGCCAGCGCCACTCAACATATCATTACTGCGGATGGATTGTTCCCCCGTTGTCCTTCCTCGAAAACCATGCGAGCCCCGGAAGGGCACGCCACTGGCATCCCAGACGTTCTACAGACAGTTCACACTCGGAGTCAAGGTCGGAAGGTCTTCCGAAACTCACATTCCGGAGCTGTCTCCCCCAGTCAAACGGGGAATGGTCCGTCCAACCGGAGTACAGCCCATCCAGCAGGGGCATAGACTACTGCTGGGGGGGTGGGGCAGGCCTCCCGAGTCTTGAATAACGGCGGGGTGCGAGGGCGTCTTGCCATCCCCCCACGTGTGGGGGGGGGCGCTTCCCTGCGGGACTCAGGAAGCTTCCATTCGGGTTCGAGGACCGAGGACCGAGGCTCGAGGATCGAGGGTCGAGGACTGAGGATCGAGGACCGATGACCGAGGATCGAGGACTGATGACTGAGGGCCGAGGATCGAGGATCGAGGATCGAGGACAACCGCTGAAGGTCTTCAGGTTTGGTCTTCAGGTGGAGTCCCCCACGGGGGGTGGGTGGGCCGCGGCCCGTGGCCAGTCTTGGGCCATCGGAAAAATCATCTCCCTGGAGTCCCGGCCCCCGCCCTGCTGCACCAGTTCTCGAGCCGCATCGACCCGTGACGATCCCGGGGCCCGAAATCGGGGGACAACGCCCGCTGGACGGCTATGTTTGATGGTGAAGTGGAAATTTTCATGGCGACTTGGCAAAAGCTTTAAACTTGAAACTGGCACTACGTGAAACACAGTACGTACAACAAAAACACCACGCAAACAAGAAGCCGTAAGAACACCACGCAAACGCACAATCTAGATTTTCTCACACCTAGGCGCGCCTCTCGATTGCAACCTCCGGATCTGAGGGACACCCAGGCCTGCCGATGCCCGAACGGGGCACCCCATGGCGGGGCCCCGGGGCCGTCGATGAAAACGACCAGGGGCTGAGAGCCAGCCCCGAGGGAAGGGGTCGAGGTTTCCGGAGGAAAAAGCACACAGCTGCAAATCATCGTCGATTCCCAGGAGCAGGTGGGAAGCTACGGGAAGTGGAGGGGAAGGCGAACATCTAGAACACAAGGATCATGTGGGGAATCCTGGGATCTGTGTCTTTTCGTTTGTGTGTTCCCGTGGGCCCCTTCAGAGTGCTCGGGGGTCCGCGTGTGGAGCATATCGGAGGTGCAAAAGGACGCGCGCGCGGCTCGTCTTCGCTGTCGTCGTCGTCGTCGTCGTCGTCGTCGTCCCTCCTTCTCTCTGCGCTTGCTTATTGTTTACGGTTGTCAATTTGTCAACCTAAGAAACTCTTTGGCCCAGGGGCCATCATACCCTTCATCGAACGGGACTGGGACGAGGATAAATCCGTTCCAGAGTGCTCCTGAACGCTCTCAGAGAGTTCCAGAACTCTCTCAGGAGGGCGCGGCGCCCGTGACTTCCTCCAGAGCCGCCGGATCTCAGATATTCTCGACTCGTCCGACCCCGACCTTGTCCTCGTCCTAGCTTCGCCTGCCCCGAAATCCACCGGGGGCCCCCGCGCGTGGAGCAGCGCAGGGCCTCGGAGGTCTTGGGGGGAGAGCGAGCCGCGCTCGGGGCCGCGGAGGGCCGGAGGGAGGCCGCGTGGCTGGCAGTGGGGCGCCGCTGTCGTCGGCGGCGAGCGAGGGGGGGAAGTGGGTCCTCAATTTCCCGTCTCAATTTCCCTTCTCACGATTGCCATATTGCGTCGTGCTGGTGCTTCTGGGGTAGATCCCCTGGGGCGCCAGGGTGCACGCAGGCCGCTCAGGGTTTTCATCCCGAGTATTGCACGCGGCTTGTCGGCGAAATCTTCCGATGCCGGCCGTCGCGCGATTTTTTTAATTTATTCGCCTTGCGTGCGCACCCTTGGGCAATCGACCAGAGAAGTGCGCGCCAGGCCGATGCGCCTCCGTCGGGGGAGGTGGGAAGGAGGAGGCCCTCTCAGAGGGCCCGATGGGAGGCCACGGGCGAGCCCTACCCCACCACCCCCTACGATTTCGAAGGGGGGTGGCGGGGCAGGGTTCGCATGCGGTCTCCTAACGCGGGATGACGATTTGTCAAAAAAATGGGAGAGAACGATTAAAACAATAGCTTTCTGCTCTTTCTGCACAATTTTCTGACTGGGAGGAGAACGATTAAAAAGAATAGTTTTCCAGCCCGCGGCCGGTTTTTTCTAATCGTCATCTTGGGCGCCGCCGTGTGAACACGACCCCCGGTCATTTATTAATCGTCATCCTCCATTACCTCAGGCGTCTCAGTGATGCTTCCTTCTTGCCTTGTCGCTTCCGATGGCCCCCGACGCCTCAGGAGAGGTGTGGGGGCGGGCAGGACCTCCTCTGGCAAAGCGCACGCCCTCTGGTGAAAAAGCTGCCAGGGGCCCTCCACGTGCGCGCGGCGCCGCCTTCCGAGTGCCCCCCAGCGGGGTCTCGCTACTCGACGTCCGAGACACACGAAGGCACCCGGCGAAATGCACGTCGGGGCTGCCACCGGCACGTTCGAATGGCAACGTCGGGTGACCCCGTGCAGACCTCAGTCCGCCTTGTCTGGGCGGCGTTCTCTAAATGCACGACAGAGAGAGAGAGAGCGCCTTAGTTTCCGCGATGGCGGCCGTTACCGGCCCAGGTCGCCCCCCCCCCCCCAGGGAAACGTCACGATTCGCGCTCACGTCCGAAAAGTCTTATTGGCTCTTGCGGTGCACTCCTAAATGCTGCCGGCGCGAAGCGTGACGTTACCGACTCCCTCCCCCTCCCCCGTAGCCATCTTAGGCTCAGGGCTTGCGAGGGTGCCGCGCGGGCCCACTCGGTGCTCACAGCTCCGCTGCAGGCCGACGTGCCTCGTGCTTCAGAAAGGAAAGAGTGCGACCTCAGGCCTCAGGTCCAGTTTCTTCGACAGCGTACGCTCCCCCAAGGCCCCCCTCAGAAGGCCGCGGGGCTTCTCAGACCCTTGCGCCCCCTGAGAAGTTTTCCGCGTCTTCGGGGGAGGCTCAGACAACTTTCCAGAAGGCTGGGGAACTTCCGAGCCTTGTGAGAAGGCCCGCCCCTTCTCACTCCCCCCCGGGGCTCGCTGCCGTATATCGGAGGAGGGACAGCTGACACGTCGGCGGCTGTCCCGCCTGGACCAGATCCGCTCAAAAAGCAGGCCCCGCACACTTTTGATCTGCGGGGCGAGAGCGAACCTCCTCCGCTGAAGGCTAAGCGGGACGCGCACAGCCTTAATTACCAGAGAAAGAGCGAAAGAAGGCGGGGCCTCACAGCGGCCGGGAGAGGGCGAATCCCTGGGATCAGGCGAGCAGGCCCCGCACACGCCTGCGGGGGTCCCTCCTGGACCGGCTCGCCGCCGACATCGCCCAGGAAGGCAGCAGCGCTCTCTCCAGGACGGCCCCGAGATCGCCCGCGGGCGCGCCCCCGCAGAGGGGGGCGCCCGCGGCGGGCGCCGGGCGGCGGAGCAGGAGGGAAAGGGCGAGGAGCGCATGCGCGCGGCCGACCGACGTGGGCCGAGGGGGCGCCCGCCGCCCTTCGCTGGGGGAACAAAAGTGACATAAACATAACAACTCGGAGGTCCGCGCGGATTTCTCGGATCGGCGCTGGACCCCCCTCCCTGGCGCGCGGAGCGCGCCAGGGGCGGCGCCGGAGGCGCCGCCAGGGGGCCCCAGCGCCGATCCGAGAAACCCGCGCGGACCTCCGAGTTTTTATGGTTATGCCACTTTTTGTTCCCCTATTCGCGGCCGCCGAGAAGGCCTGCGGCGCCGCAGGCAGCTGGGCGCAGCGGGCGCCCGCCAGTCGGGCGGGTTGTAGAGGGTGTAGGGGGCCACATGCGAACCCTACCCCTGCCCCCCACGACTTCTGGGGGGGAGGGTGGGGTTCACTTCGCTCGGGAGCTCCTGAGCGAAGTGAGCCCCACCCTCCCCCTCAGAAATCGTGGGGGGGTAGGGGTAGGGTTCGCATGTGGCCCCCCAGGGGGGTGACCGAAGCGCGGGGTGGAGAAGAAAGGGGCCCTACAGGGGCCCTTGTGGAATCAGCAGGAGCCCCACAGGGGCCTCAGGTGGCCCCTCTCTTCACCCCCCAATCGGGGAGGGCGGCAATGGGTCGTGGCTTGAAGAGGTGGTGAAGAGAGAGAGAGAGAGAGAGAGAGAGAGAAAGGGGGCCCCGGATAGGGCCCGCTTGGAACCGGCAGGGGCCGCAGAGGGCCCCCTCTATTAAAGGGGGCCCCCGAAGGGCCCCGTGCCGCACCCCGCGCAGAGGCCCCCCGCCCCGGCGCCTCCCGCCCGAGCCACGGGGTGCCCCCGCTCGGGCCTCGGCAGGCCTGGGCGTCCCTCGGGTCCGCCGGGCATCTGCAGCCGTCTCGCAGCGGGCGCCGCCTCCCGACCTTCGGGCCCAGGGGCCGTCACCGATCGATGCGGCTGGGGCAACGATCTGGGAAGATGGGGTCTGGGACTCGTGTGGTAATTGTTAGCGATGTTGAGTTCGGCTCGACCTCAAACATCTGCACAGATCGCACCACGTGCACTGCACCACACAGAGTGCGCCACGTAGACTGCACCGCATGTATTGCACTGCGTAGTGCGCTAGAGCACACACTTTGGGGTCCACGCTTGCTCTTTTCCTGAGGGGGTGGGACGATTTTTGCCGTTTGGAGCTCTTTTGGGAGGGTTGTTGGAGGCCTCTTCAGGCGTCTTGGAGGCGTCTTTGGCCGTCTGGAGGCCATCTGGAGCGTCTTGCACCGATCGTGTGGCGTTCTTGGGGCGCTCTGGAAACAGCCCCCCCGCCGGGCTGGAAGCCAATGCCAGAAATAACGGCATAGGTATTCATTGTGTTAGTACCGCTATATCGAAAGCGGGTGCAAGAGAGGGAGAGAGAGAGAGAGAGAAACAGATAAAGAGAGAGAGAGAGAGAGAAATGTAAAAAACAACGAGAGAGAGAGAGAGAGAGATGCAGGGGGATGGCCAGGCTGCAGCTTACCCTGGGGTCGCCCGACTTCATCCGTGGCGACAGCGAGGAGCCACTGGCCGGCTTCGGCAGCCGGCAGCCTCTTCCTCTGGCCCCTCGCCGCTGCGGGCGTCCCGCCGGTCATCTGCCGTGCCGCTGTCGCCGTCGCCGTCGTGGCCGCCGCCGTCGCTGTCCTCGTTGGTTGCCGACTGCTTTTCTGCTCGGACCTCGTGCCCCCCTCGTGGGCGCGCGCGAGGCCAAGCTAGACTCCTGGGATCCTTCCTCGTCCGCCATCTGATGGCTGCCTCGACGGGCAGCCCTGCAGGCTACCCTGAGCCACTCGTCGCCGATTGCACGGTGGCAGCGGGTGCACGTGTGCTGCGCGTCGGCCCTCCAGGGAGCCCTTCCGGACACCTCCGTGGAGGCTCGAGGTTGGGTCGAGCACGCGGGTCTTGCGAGTGTGTGCTTTGCATGCCCTCCGCTCTTCTGCTGCGCCCTCGTCGAGATCCCGAGCCTGACCTCGCGTGGTCGGAGAGCTCTCTGGCCGTTCCGCGGCCGCTCCTTCCTCCCTCCTCGCCCCTCCCTCTCGCCCCTCCCTCCGCCCACTTCTGCTTTCGCCGCAGCTCGCTGCGGATGCGCCCCGCCTCGAGCCCGACTGCCTGGCGGAGCCACCCCGCTGCAGACCGAGCAGCAGCGCCCTCCGGGAGCGTGCCTCGCGCCTCGCGCCCCGTGGGCCGGGCCGGCGAGCCGCCCTCCTCCCGCGGGGCGGCGCGAGGGCGTGAGAGCACACCCGGCCCGGCTTCGCAGGTCGACCCTGCCAGATGGAGGGCACCCTCCGTGTCCTGTGCCTCGCGACCCAGGCCTCCTGCATTCCTATGGCGATGCGGCCCTCGGAGGGGTCCTCGTGTCCAGGGGGCCGCATGCGAACCCCACCCCTGCCCCCCACGGTTTCTGGGGGGGAGGGTGGGGCTCACTTTGCTCGGGAGCTCCCGAGCGGAGTGAACCCCACCCTCCCCCCCAGAAATCGGGGTAGGGGCAGGGGTAGGATTCGCATGTGGCGGAGTGAGCCCCACCCTCCCCCTTAAAAATCGTGAGGGGTTGGGGCAGGGTTCGCATGTGGCCCCCTAGAGGGTCTCGTGTCCTGCCGCGCGCCCTGTTCCAGTCCAGCCCGACGGTGCACGGCCGGGCGCTCGCGCTCCGCGCGCCGCGCCGCCGGCTCCGGTCCGCCGCGCTCCCGCACGGCGCGCGGACCTCGGCGGCGACGACGGTCGGGGGTGGCTCCGCTGCAGGCCGACGTGCCTCGTGCTTCAGAAAGGAAAGAGTGCGACCTCAGGCCTCAGGTCCAGTTTCTTCGACAGCGTACCCTCCCCCAAGGCCCCCCTCAGAAGGCCGCGGGGCTTCTCAGACCCTTGCGCCCCCTGAGAAGTTTTCCGCGTCTTCGGGGGAGGCTCAGACAACTTTCCAGAAGGCGGGGGAACTGCCGAGCCCCGTGAGAAGGCCCGCCCCTTCTCACTTCCCCCCGGGGGTTGGCGGCCGTACATCGGAGGAGGGACAGCTGACACGTCGGCGGCTGTCCCGCCTGGGCCCGATCCGCTCAAAAGCAGGCCCCGCACACGCCTGCGGGGGTCCCTCCTGGCCCGGCTCGCCGCCGACATCGCCCAGGAAGAACCGGGGGCGGAAAAGAGGGGGGTGATGACTAGGGGGGGCTGGATATCATGGCGGGGGGCATGATATTTCCCCAGATTTCATGGCGCCTCTTCTGATTTCGTTACGTCCCTGGCCCCCCCGCCGGGCCGCGCACATGCCGCCGGTCATGATTTGTGCCCCCCCCTCTTGGACCCCCTCCCTCTTGGCCGCTCCCGAGACGGGGGCGAACGGCCCAGGGGCGGGCACTGCGGTCAACCCGCATGGTGAGGATGGCAGCTTCAAGCAGTGGCGAAGCGTCCTGGCTCGCCTATAGCCCTACCACACAATGCTCTAGGAACTTTTTTGTGGTTTCCACGACATGCTCTTAGAACATGTCTGGTGGACATTGTTTTGTTTTAGCACATCGGGCTCATGTTCTAAGAACATTGTTTGTGCTCTTAGAGCGTTTTTGGGCTCTAAGAACATTGCGTGGTAGGACTACAGGACTGCCGGGACGGTCGGTCCCTGCTCAGCAGCTTTCCCAAGGGCGCTGTTTGCATCCTTGGCCCTTCGCGGCCCATCCTTGGCGGCGTTCGCTGGCCAGCCTCGTCCGAGAAACGTCGGCATCGCCCTTTCAGGCCCTGGCATCCTCACCGCGCATCCTGACCGGACGGGTTGACTGCACATGCATTCGCGGCCCATCCTTAGCGGACGCGTGTGTTGTTGCCCCTGGGCTACTCGCCCCCATCGCCGCCCCCGAGGACCCCCTCCCAGTTTCCAGGCGTCCACGGTCAGCGTCCCGAGCGTGTCGGGGGCCCGAGGCCCGGCGACCCGGAGTGGGCTCCCGTACTCGAGATTGGCCTGAGCATCCATGCGTTTTCTGGCCGGAAGCTAGTTTTCTGCGCTCGGCGCCCCTCCTCCTCCTCCTCCTCCTCCTCCTCCTCCTCCTCCTCCTCCTCCTCGTCCTCCTTGTGCCGCCAGCTGTTCGTCCAGACGGACGGCTGCGCCAGGCCTCGTCCCTCGTCCCTCCTCGTCCTCCTCCTCCTCGTCCTCCTCCTCCTCCTCCTCCTCCTCCTCCGCCTCCGCCTCCGCCTCCGCCTCCTTCTCCCTCCTCCCTCCTCCCGCTCCTCCCCTCCTCCCTCTTCCCTCCTTCCTCCTCCCTCCTCCCCCTCCTCCTCCTCCTCCTCCTCCTCCTCCTCCTCCTCCTCCTCCTCCTCCTCCTGCTCCTCCCCCTCCTCCTCCTTCTCCTCCTCCTCAGCCGTTTTGGCCCCGTCGCCCGCGGCGCCGAGTCGGCGCGGGGGGCTTCTGGGCCATCGACAACCTTCACGAGGTATCGGCTGGAATCGGAGATCCCCAGGGTGGATTCAGGACACGAGTAGTCGGCAGTAAAACAGCGCGCCATGGGGCGCAAAGCCCGCATGAAGAAGAAGTTGCAGGAGATCGGCCCGAGCGATCCGTGGCCGCGACTCCAGCCGCTCATACCCCTCACTCCAGGTCCTCAGATGGCGGGCGGGATGCCCGCTTGGCCTCATGGGGCGATGCCGCGGGGGCCGTGGTGGACGCCGACGCGGATCCCACCACCGCCGCCACCAGGAGGAGGGAACAGTGATCTTAAGGTCCGTTGCAGTTCGGGAGCGTGCAAGAGGTGGGCCTGGACCAGCAAGCTGGCCATGTACCGCAACACATGCCTGTGTGGGTCGGCCTTCTCGAACCAGCCTTTCGAGGAGGGCAAGGACCTGCAGAACTCCAAGGGCAAGGGCAAAGGAGGCCGTGGGCAGCAGGGTGGGTCCTCGGCCGCATTCTCGGCGCAGTTGGAAGCGTTGATCAAGTCCCAGCCTGAGTCGCAGGCGGCCAAGGCTGCCCAGGTGCTGCTCACGGCGGCGACCGCAGCGGCCAGCCAGCCGAAGCCGCACACGACCCAGCAGGTGACTGAGGTGTCGGCGAAGGTGCAGAGGGCGCAGTCGGCTTTCGACATGGCGCAGAGGCATCATATCAAGCTGGCATCGGACATGGAGAAGAACAAAATCGTGCTCCAGGAGGCCGCCAGTGCGTTGACGGAGGCAGAGCACGAGAGAGCCACCCTGTTCAAGGCTATGATCCCGAGTGCACAACAGTCCCAGGCCACGCCTGGGCCTGCGAGTGGTGCATCGGCCATCGATCTGAGTGCGATGCTAACGGCCAATCATTTGGAGGAGTCGATGATCTCGCTGGATCTTGGGTCGGATTTTGACAACTCGGACGGGGTCATGAATCAGACGGACTTGGAGGAGCTGGAGCGCCGCAAGTCTGCGGTCAAGAAGGCTCTCTTCGACGCGATGAAGGCGTCCTTCGGCAGCTTGCAGGAGAAGCTGAAGGAGCATCGGGACTCGCTGGCGGAGATCCGTGAGTCCAACGCCAAGAAGCGGAGGTCCACACCGCCGCCATCGGGTGGCCCTACTCCTCCTGCTCCAGGGGTAGGAGGGCAGCCGTCAGCTGGTGCGGGAGACCCTCCTCCAGATGTGGGCGCCGCGCGCGATGCTGCCAGGGTGCCAGTCCCAGGTGGCGACGCGGACGGGGTGGAGAAGGCGAGGATGGAGGCCATCGCCAGCAAGCTGGAGGCGGCGGCCAAGTCCTTGCTCGATAGGGCCCGCCAGGAGGCGGCGGAGCGGTCCAGCCTTTAGCGTGCAGCGACCCCATCGACCTCGGTGGATCATTGAAGAATGAAGGTCGAGGGGTCGATCCCTTCCCACCGAGTGCCAGCAGCAGATGGACCACTACGGGTGGTGAGAACCTTTCTCATCACATTTCCTCGGGGCAGTGTGCAGCGGACTGCCCGTCATCTTCAACTGGGGCCTTCGAGTCGACTGTGAGTTCGGCGCTCTCAACGGCTTCGGCTATTCGGGAGGAGGTCAGGCTCCCAGCGGCGACGGGAGAGGGTGCTGAGTGCGCAGGGCCTGGCCCCGCGCCTGCCTTCGTCGCGCCTTGCGCGACACGTCGTTGGCCCCCGACCTCCTCCCGCGAGATGGACGGGGGCGACGGCGCTGGCGAGCGCGAGGTCACCCGCTCCCTGTATGTGCGTAACGTGGGGGGCTGGGGTCCCGCGGCCAAGTCGTTGGCCCAGCAGCAAGTTGCCGACTTCATTACTATTCCAGAGACGCATTGTTTGCATGACAAATCTAACATTATCTTGCAGGACTGGAGGAAGGCTGGCTATGTCGGAATTGCATCGGCGGCTCGCGTCTCGCCTACCGTATCCAAGGCGGGGGGCATCACCATGGGCATTCGCGAGAGATGTAAAGCTGCTTCGCTGAGGCACCTGGCCTCGTCTTCGCATGGCCAAGTAGGGCTCAGACAATTGGACAAGTCAGATCGGCCAGGCATTGACTTCGAAGATCTTGTTGGTGTGCAAGTACGAGCCCATGGCCAGTCTCTCCTGGTCATGGGAGTTTATCTTACTAGCAGTGTTGGCGTAAAGGGCAACATGCAGAAGCTTTCCAACTTGGGCGCCATTCCCAAGACGGTGCAGGCACCCTGAATGGTAGCGGGAGATTGGAACTGTACACCTCAGCAATCTCCACATCTGGATGGTTGGATTTAGTTGGGGGAGAAGTTCTCGCAGCGCACAGTGCGGATTATACTTGTACGGCTGGAGCTGACAGGATGATTGATTGCGTGGTCATCGACAGGCGAGCCCAGCACTTTTTTCCAGAGAAATGCACCACAGCAGACTTTGGAGCGATTGGTGGGGCAGGTAGGGCACACTATGGGCTGCAGATCCTGGTTAACTTCAGTGTCTCTAGGGCTGAAGGTTGGATGCTCCAGCGGCCCAGGGCCTTCGACCATCCTGCTAGAGCCAAGCGTGCGGCGGGCCCTGACAGCACACGTTCCAAGAAAAAGGCTCAGGACTCTGCGAGGTTAGCCTCGGGACCTCACAGCTTTATCGAAGTCCCGCCAGTGTGGGGACCTCGCAGGAGCTTGTCGATTAAGAGCCCCCCGCCCTTACAATACCTGCATTTAGATTTCCATGACGAACCCGATTTTGCCACTGAGGAGGAGGAAGCGCCGACCGATGTGCCCAACGATCAGGATCCTCTGGTAGAGGAGGACGCCTCGTCGGAGCATGAAGGGTCTTCGCTTCCTTCCTCTCGACAGTCTATACAGCAAGAGTGGGATCCTCAGAGCAAGGATATGCAGTGGATATCGTTGAGTGAAATGCATCAGGTTCGAGGTCGAGCGGTTCCACCAGACTTTGTTCGAGAATCTTTGGCTTTCAGATGTGCATTTGAGGAGGCTCAGCAGCTGGGTGAGTCCTTCGCGAGTTGGGTTGGCATCCTGGAACGGTACTATTCTGAAATCTACCGCATTCCTCCGCAGGAGCGACGTCAGTATCAAGGGCGTGCTGATCTCCGACCACCGAGGCTCCAACAGCTGCCTGCGGAAAAGCCGTGGGTGACAGCCGCGGATCCGAGTGCCAGATTGTGGTCGACGGTCGCTAACCACTGTGTGGAGCTTGCTAGTGTACCAGCACATCTTCAGGATACGCCTCGGGGTAAACATCTTCGTGCTCGCCTGTGTGGTCTTGCTGGCGCCATCCCTGTTACTCAGCATGTCCCGCTTCCCGAGCGGCGACGGCAGCGATGGATCAGAGGGCTTCGCGCGCTGGGGGGAGGGGGGGGGGGGGGCGACCATTGAGTCTCTGAAGGCCTTCGCCGCAGCGGCACAGAAGGTATCGGAGCAAGCTCAGCGCGCCGTGGCGCGACAACGTCTTCATGAATTTCGCGATTGGGTGTGTCAACGCGCAGTGCAGGGCATGGGGGCATTACATCGACATGTCAAGGATCCTATGGCGGAGGTCAACGAGATTTTCAGCAGTCACGGATCCTCGTGTGACGCTGCGACTCTCATGATGGCCAAGAGATCTACCTGGGAGCGCCTGTGGAGCCCCATCGATTTGGATGAAGCCCGTGCTGTGCGAGTCGTTGCCCAGGCGAGGGAGCTGGCCCGCGATGAGGCACTCCCCCCGCTGGAGCTCAAGGACCTGGAGCTGGCGCTGCAGGCGATTCCCCCATCGAAGGTGGCGGGCGTCGACGGCATCAGGCAGCGCGACGTCTTCTGGCTGCCGCTGGAGGGTCGTCTCCAGCTGCTTCGGCTTCTTCATCAAGTTGAGCTGGCAGTAGCATGGCCGTGGCAGTGGCTCACTGCTATCGTTGTTTTGCTGAGGAAACCTGACGTGCGGAAGGATCGCGCAATCGGGCTTCTGTCTTGGCTAGGTCGCCTGTGGGGCCGAATGCGGTCCCGCCCCGCGGGAGTCTGGGCTGAGCAGCGCTCTTGCCCGTGGGGCGCTGCGGAGCGGGGCAACTGTGCTCAGCGGGAGGCGCTGCTAAGAGTTTACGCTGACGAGGCTTCCTTAGCCTCTCTTTTGCCAGAATATTGTTCAGCGTCCAACTGCTGGGACGTTGAAGCGTTTTACGATACGATCCGATGGGGGCGCGTTCTGGCCCACGCGATCGAGCTCGAGTTTCCGCCGATGTGTCTGGCTTTAGAAGCTCTCCTGCACATGGGCCCGCGGCTGCTTCGTGACGGGGGCACTTTCGCCCCTCCCATCCTTCCCAAGGGAGGGCTGGTTGCTGGAGCTCGCAGGGCCGCCGATTTTGCCAGATGCCCGGTGTTTGAAATTTGCCAGGAAGCGATCAGCAGCAGTGCTTTGGTCACCCCCCGCACTTGGATTGATGATGCCACCCAGCGTGCGGAGGGAATTCGCAGAGATGTGGTACGCGAGCTGATTGTTTCAGGCGTTACTTTTGCTCAGCAATGCCATCAGGAGTGTATGAAGCTTGCCACCAAATCCACTATCATTGCGCCAGAGCTTGCGGTGGCGCGGGAGATCCAAGTCGGTCTGGCGACCCATGGAATCCAGGTGGACGTGGCGTCAGTGGCAGCTGATTTAGGTATCGGGAGAGGGAGCGGAGCGCAAGGGGCCAAGCCTAGGCACGCTACGAGGATGGTCCAGGCTCGGCGTCGTGCACACCGAATCCACAAGATTGCCCGAGTCGCCCCTCGCAAGGTAGGACCTAAACTCATTTTAACGGGAGCCCTCCCTCAGGCCTCCTACGCGTGGAAGGTCTTTGGAGTTGCCCCCGCGGTCCTCCTGCAGTGGCGTAGGGCTCTAGCTAGTACTTTAACGCGGGGTCTGGTTGGGGGGTGCCTCACTACCCTCCTGGCCCTCGAAGTGGGGGCGAAGGACCCCGCCTTCAGCGCGGTCTTTGCGATTCTTGAATCTTGGTTTCAGATTGTTGCCGCGGTCCCCGACAGAGCTCTCGGCCGCATGCATAGATGCTGGCAAGACACGGTTGCCCGAATTAGCGCGCTGGGCCCAGCGCGAAGGTGGCGCAACGTTCGAGGACCCGTCTCGGCAGTGGTCGCCACTATGCTTGAGCTGGAGTGGAGGCTGGTCGGGCCTTGGAGGTGGATCTCGCCTGGGGGAGAGGAGTTTGCTCTGCCCGACGAGATGAGGTCTCAGGCCCATATGACCGACGGCTCTCGCCAAGAAGTCTCGAATTCGATCTCCCTTCGGCTCTGGGCGTCGGCCTCGAAGTTCCGAAATGGAGCGGGAGGAGCCGAGGGAGTTGATTTCACGGTCGCGAGGAGCCACCTCGCGAAGTTGCGCAGGGAAGACCCGAAAGAAGATGGGCTTCTTAGGGCTGTTTTGACGGGTGCCGTTTGGACGCGGTCTCGGATCCTGGCCTCGGGGGGCGAGTGCGAGGACATGTGCCCTCGGTGTCAGCGGGGCCCAGGGACTGACCTGCATCGCTTTTGGGAGTGCCCGTGTAATTTGGAGCTGTCTGAGCTTTCAGAGGCCTTTATACGTCGTGCTGTCGCGGACTCTAAAGTTTTTCCGATTTTGTGGCTTCGCGGCCTCGCGCCCTCCTCGTGGACTCGTGTGCCTGAGCGCCCCGGCCAGCTTCTCGAGGTCTCTTCGGGTGCCATCCCTGTTCCTGGTGGGGGTCGCATTTGGGGGGCGGGGGGCGCTAGCGGGGGGAAGTTCACCAGGGACAAGAGGATTCGAAGGGTATCGTGGGGCGTCGCGGTGTTTAACCACAGCCTGGATGCTCTCCCCAATCAGGTCGGCGCCGCAAGCGTGGCCCCTTCGGCTGGCGGCGGGGTGCCTGGCAAGCAGAGTGTGAATCGGGGGGAGCTCTGGGCTCTTGTTAGGTTTTGAAGTTACTCCCAACGGGGCCGCGGTAGGCTATGTCACCGACTCCGCGTGCGTGGTGCGCGGGGTATCCAGAGTCTTTGGAGACTGTGTGAGGAGAATTCGGTCCCACCGCGATCTCTGGGACCGCGTGGCCAACCTGTGTGCTTCCAGGGACCAGTTGTTGCGCCAGGTTCCGTCCCATCTTGAGCTTCAGGAGGCAGTCAGGATGGGGCTCAGCCCTGGCCACGTCATTGCTAATGCGATTGCTGACTCGATCGCTGAAGAATGCAGTGCTGACGTCCAGCTACCGTGTGCCACGAGGGCGGTGGTGGGGTGGGCCGACGGCATCACATATAAGATTCAGCGCCACCTCCTGTGTATCATGGAAGACGTGCTGGAGCGCGAGGGTAAGAGACCCCCCCGACCTCCGAAGGCTAGTGTCAGAAGGTCGGCGGCGGATAGGCTCCGCCGAGCGGCCCTAGGCACGGCCCACAGATGTCCTCAGATTCGTAGTGATTTTTCTCAGTGTTCTCAGTGTGGCTGCAGGGCCACGGGTAGGGATGTCGCGCGTTTTTTGTCCACCCCATGCACCCCCATGTCGTGGAGTGGGGCGATGTTCAGACCCACTGGGAGGATTTGTCTTCGGTCGCGTGAGGTGGGCCAGAGTCACCATATCGCTTTTTGGCCCGAGGAGAATCTGCTGTGGTGTTTAGTGTGCGGGTGCTATTCTGTTGAGTCCCTTCGTGATTTGGCCAGCCCTTGCTCAGGGCGGCTCTCGAAAACGGGGGCCCAGAATCTGTCCAGGCTCGGTCGCGGCCTGGTTCCAGGCAGTAGAGTGTGGGGGAGGGAACGGCTTGAGCGGAGAGAGCGGGGGGTGGGGAGTGACAGAGCGGCGAGCGCGGGACCCGCGCCCGCCCGACGGGCGGCGGCCAACCGTGGCATCAACGCCGTGGTCGTCAGGCGCCGCCCCGCCTCCCTGCCCCCGCCCCCGCCTGTCTCCGCTCCTCTCGGCTCTCTGCTGTTGCCTTAGTGTTGTCATCATTGATCATTATGATCGCTCCTTATATTATATACTCCTTCTCCTCCTCCTCCTCCTCGTCGTCTTCGTCGTCCTTCTCCTCCTCAACCTCTGCCTCCCCCTCCTCCTCCTCCCTCCTCTCCCCTCCCTGCCTGGAGGTCCCAGAGGGCCAAGAAGGGGAGAAACTGCCCCACAGTTGGGATTCTCGATACAGGCCGTTCGTTGGAAGTAGGAGGTGTTCTTGGATTTCTGGATCCCAATCAATTTTGAATGCGCGCCTTGCGCACTTCGACAGTCAAAGGGGCCTCCTTCTGCCTTCTTTGTCCTGGGCGGGCCGAAACTCAATCTATGCTTGAGCCGCCTGCCTGCCTCGTGCTCCTGATCACCTGCCTCTGGCCGACCTGCCCTCCTGTCGGGCGACGAGATCTACACAAGTCCGTTGCCCCTGGCCAGGCCCATCCTAGGCCCAGGGTCCGCGCACATACCTGCCTGGCCAAGCCAGGGCCTGTCTTAGGCCCATCCTCGGCCCATGGCCGTTGCATCCACTGCCC